AAGTGTTTTCTATGGCTATGTTACAATAGTAACTATATCAACTATCATTATTTAACACTATACATGTGTCAAAATGTATTCTTTATTATTTCATTTAAAAACATTGAATGAAAAAAAAAGTAATCTTTTCTAATGCAATACTTCAGTTTAACAAAAAAGCAACAAATGTTCATAAACCATAGTATAATTCTTCTCTATACATTTGTATTATTGTACACTTGTACTTCAACCTTGATACTGGAGTAACCATTCATTGAACTAGTTTAAGCACTCCTGTAGCACGTTTACACAGTTCTTTGGATCATGTTTGGTTTAACTTATAGAGCCAGGAATCTCGTTAGATTGAATGGATCAATACATTTTTTAAATTAGGCTTTCAAAACCTTTCATTTCAATAGAATTTTAACCAAAATGTTTGTATATGCACATAACCCTTTTTTTTTTTACTAGAGAAATTTTGAGATAGTTTTTTTGAGTCTTACACACCTATTGACATGCAAAGGGAAATGGAGAGACCTATCCAATATGACATCATTATGTAAATATGCTAAATGAACAATTATTGTTGAGAAGCGATTTGAAGTCTGGTCAGAAGCTCTGACCTTCTAGTCTTCACCTGAGCCTCATTACACTGAGTGCAATACATCAATCTATCGCTCAAATAGTTCACACAGCCAACCAGTCACTGACATTCTACAGACTTTCTAGTGAGTAGCACATATTCCAGCTATGTACATAGTAGATTGAGAAAAAGTTGCTTTAAACATTTTTTTTTGTTTGCTTGGGATTTTTTAATTCTTTTTTTTTTAAACCCTTTTCTGGCTTATTGTTTGTTCTACAGCTTGGTTTCAGGTTGTATTCACACTTGATTCTTTGGTGGTAGAGATTTCCTTACCTCTGGTTCTGCAGAAAATTGAGGGAATTACTTGATTTTGTCCAACTCCTTGATCAATCAAAGCTCTCTAGTTTGTTTTTTTTTCTTCTGCTATCAGCCAAACAAAAGTGACAATTTTGTTATCTATGTGTGTGTGTTTTTGTGTGTCTTGCATAACATACTGACATATACATGCAAGTAATTTGTTGGTCTATAATCACCCAGTACTTTGTCCTTTTACAAGAATGTAATGTTTGTTATCTTTAGCATAAGATGTCTATAAAAGATGCAATGCAGCTTATACATGTTTATACCAGAAAACTTGTGTATTGGGATAGACTGAACTTGTCTGCTATTATTTCCTTTTATGTTTCAACTAGAAATTTGTGGAGGTCAAAATATAGTATTGTTCTTCTAGAATGTACTCATTGTATGGCCGTTAGGCCTGTGGCTAAGAGATGTTTTTTCATGATACACATGCCATTTTCTTTTTTATCAATGATTGACATGTCTAAAATGTTTCAAATATCTGAACAGGTGCCATTTATTTTGTGAACATTTAATCTCTCTGGCTGTTATCTTCTATGTCATGATAGGACTTCTTCACATATTACTAGTTTGTGTGTCTGTATTGAATAGATAGCTGTCATCCATTACATTAATAGGGTTTGGTATTAATTGTTTTACATCTGATCAATTATGTGTAGTAATAAATAGGACAAATAGAACAAAAATTTTTTTTTATCATTGAATAAAACTGAAACCCAAAGTTGGATCTACTCTGAATAAATCTGTGACTTGATATTGATGAATGCTGTAAACTCTAAAAAGATTTTATGTTGCATTTTATGGAATATATCTAGGATTTTTTTAAAATCCAGATCCTTGAAGTATTCTACAGCATGTTAGGCTGTATTACAAACATGTTAGAAAAATACAATGCTCACAGTTGATTACATAATTTTAAGCAGCTGACACAAAACTGTTTACTGCTGTTGGTAAAGTCCATTTGAAATACTTTGGCCTTGTCCAACCTTGTTCTATGCTATTGTTAGAAGTTGTGTGACAGAAGTGCCTGAACCCTAAAGAAATAATTCACATCATGCCAATACAATAATGTTGATTATGCAACTTTGCAAATGTAAATAACTTTTGTTTTTTCATGGTTTGAAATCAATATAACCAATTGTTAGTTCACATTTTGTCTAAGCAGCAATTTATTTGGTTTTAAAATAAAACAAAAACATTTAAAATGGAAGTTTTTTATTTTTTGTTCAAGTATAGTATGGTACATAAAAAAGGTTTTGTTATTAAAGAGCCTTGACTATAAAAACAAAAAAATGACTTTTCTGTATGGGAGCTAATTCTCTTGTTGACTTGACATTAATGCACTAAAAGTCATTCCTAGACATTGTAATTCTCTGTTATTTTTTTTTCTTACAAAATTATATTGGTCACTTATCATTCCTCTATTTCTGTACCAGACTATATACATCCTTTTTTGTCCTTTCAGAAAGAATATTGAATTTCAACTACTGCTGATTTGCAATGAAAAATATATATGCACCTTTGTTTCATGTCTACTGTATATCATAATATAAAATGCTTAGGTTGAAGATAAATACTTTAACTATTTTGTAAAAATACATACAAATAAAGAAGTTAAAACAATCTTCAAGGAGTTATTATATATATATATATATATATATATATATATATATATATATATATATATATATATATATATATATATATATATTTACCTTTGACCTTAAGTATTTTCTTTAAAATGAAAAAAATATGTTGTGTCAAACAATAGGCCTACCATCTCTTACTGCTCACTACATCAACTGGAATTGGATATCTACATTCTAAAAAAGAAATTATGATTATATTTTTGAATTATATCTGTTAATGAATGGATTTTTATGAAGGTCCTGGCTTTCATCCTGGTGTTCAAAATATTGTCTTTAAATTTCAACAAGTTGTTCATTAGAGACTCTAGTTTGTTGAGAGGACCTCTTTGGAAATACTTCTCTTATGTACTTCTATATCGACTTGATAATTAAAACAAAATTGACTAGATAAATGCCTTGTGACAGAACTCATCTTCTCATGATTCCATCTTTAATGTGGCTGACATCATTGCTTATGCACAACATTCACTGATCTCTTTAAGAGATGTATGTACGTCATCACTGGCTATGAATCTCTCAATATAATGCCAAAGACCAAAGAAAGCAAATGGCTTTATTGAGTTATAAAAAATTTACTTACAACTAAATGATTACATTAGTAGTGCATGGCTCAACTAGTCTTAGTTTATTTAAACAAGTACAAATGAGATGCTAGATTGGTATTAAATTAGCAGCAAGATGCACACAATAGCATGACATTCAGGGACATGAAAAGTAAGGCTAGAGATGGTCATCAAATTAGCAGCAAGATACACACAATAGCATGACATTCAGGGACATGAAAAGTAATGAAAAGAACTTGAGTGAAGGGAAGAACCAGGTACATCTGGCAAGGTTTCAAACCCATGAATTTTTTTACAGCAAGTAATTAAGAGGATAAACCATGTGTCATAAATGTACTGGCTCAAATTTGACCATGTACAAACACGTGGTCTTTAGAGACCTCTCTTGTGGAGTGCTAATAAGACCACCTCATTAAACTGACACAAGCTTATGTGTTCACCCAGGGCTTACGCCTATTCAAGGTGACTAATTCAATTTATACCACTACATCTTTTAAGTACGATTTCTTTCCCTTGTTCAAGATAGCAAACAAAATAATTAATTACCAATAGTTAATTAACTATAATAATTGTTTAATTTTTTAAAAACTTTGATTCTTGTGTTATGTAAAAGAAATAATTGTGCAACATTTCAGACTTGATCCAAAATTGAGTGTGAGAGAAATAAGGTATAAAACTTTGTACCAGAGTGAGTTTTATAAAAACAACCAGCCCCCCTACCCCAATAGCCTTATTTGCAGCAAGCTCTATGATGGGTATAAAACTTTGTACCAGACAGAGTGAGCTTTGTAAAAACAACCAGCCCCCCCACCCCAATAGCCTTAATTGCAGCAAGCTCTATGATGGGTATAAAACTTTGTACCAGACAGAGTGAGCTTTTTAAAAACAACCAGCCCCCCTACTCCAATAGCCTTATTTGTAGCAAGCTCTATGATGGGTATAAAACTTTGTACCAGACAGAGTGAGCTTTTTAAAAACAACAAGCCCCCCCTACCCCAATAGCCTTATTTGTAGCAAGCTCTAGGATTGGTATAAAACTTTGTACAAGACAGAGTGAGCTTTGAAAAAAAAGAACCAGCCCCCCTACCCCAATAGCCTTATTTGCAGCAAGCTCTAGGATTGGTATAAAATTTTGTACCAGACAGAGTGAGCTTTGTAAAGACAACCAGGTTCCCTACCCCAATAGCCTTATTTGCAGCAAGCTCTAGGTTTGGTATAAAACATTGTACCAGAGTGAGCTTTGTAAAGACAACCAGGTTCCTTACCCCAATAGCCTTATTTGCAGCAAGCTCTAGGTTTGGTATAAAACATTGTACCAGAGTGAGCTTTGTAAAGACAACCAGGTTTCCTACCCCAATAGCCTTATTTGCAGCAAGCTCTAGGATTGGTATAAAATTTTGTACCAGACAGAGTGTGCTTTGTAAAGACAACCAGGTTCCCTACCCCAATAGCCTTATTTGCAGCAAGCTCTAGGTTTGGTATAAAACATTGTACCAGAGTGAGCTTTGTAAAGACAACCAGGTTCCCTACCCCAATAGCCTTATTTGCAGCAAGCTCTAGGTTTGGTATAAAACATTGTACCAGAGTGAGCTTTGTAAAGACAACCAGCCCCCCTACCCCAATAGCCTTATTTGCAGCAAGCTCTAGGATTGGTATAAAATTTTGTACCAGACAGAGTGAGCTTTGTAAAGACAACCAGACTATAAGCAATAGAAATAGAATCAATACAAATTATTTAAGTTTTTTTGCAATAAGAAAAATGTTGACTTGTTAAGGTTCTGTGTTAAAAAAACAAACATTAGAAGATAGACAATTTATTTCTTGAATAATAAATATAAAGGGCCAATACAAAAACAAACTCAGATTCTTGGCTTATACAGAGTAATCTTTATTAAACAATAAATTTAAACAGATTACCAAAAAACATAATGACCAATCTTGTCAAATAACAAATAGAATGAACTGTAAATTTCTACATAATAGAAGCATATTCCTCCACATTTTAATATATATATATATATACATTTTATGAGTAATAACACCAGTCAATACAGATGGTGATTGTAACTTCATGTCACTCAATATAAACAAGACATTGAAAGACAAAATGTTGGGATTATTAAATCTAATTAAAGTTGCAGTTTTGTTCTGGGAACATGGTCATAGAGAGACACTAAGTGGAGACTAGGACATGCCCATAGAGATACACCTAGTGTAGGCTAGGACATGCCCATAGAGATACACTTAGTATAGGCTAGGACATGCCCATAGAGATACACTAAGCACTAAGTGGAGACTAGGACATGCCAACAGAGATACACTTACAATAGGCTAGGACATGTCCATAGAGATACACTTAGTATAGGCTAGGACATGCCCATAGAGATACACTAAGTGGAGACTAGGACATGCCAACAGAGATACACTTACAATAGGCTAGGACATGTCCATAGAGATACACTTAGTGTAGGCTAAGTCTGAGATCATGACAAATCATAAAGAAAGAAGTAGTAATACACCCATACCATAAAAAGAAAACTTGGTAAATGTCCAGCAAGTCCAAGGAGTTTTATATACTTTGATCAGCGCTGAGTACACCAGTATGACATGAAATATTGAGAGTTTGTAGAATGTAAAGTGTATGACATAGAGATTTTTATTTAAAAAAAAAAGCGATTGGAAGACATTTACATTTTGGCAGTGGTAGACTGAACACCATTTTCATTTCAAAATAAAGATTCAAATTTGTGATCAATGTTTTAACTCACAACAAAAATTGTTGAAGTACAAAAGAATTAAAAAAAAACTTTTTAAATTGTAACATTGTAAAAATAAACACAAATAAAGTTAATCATAAAATGAGATGTAAAGATACACAACACAATATACGTCTTAGGGAATATTGCAAACAAACTTTATGCAATTAGTTTCCCAAATTAGCAAATAGTTAATTAGATGTAGAAAAAAATGATTATATTTAGGCACAATGCAAGAATAAAATCTTACTTGGACAAGGACGCACGTGTCAAAATAAAAAAAAAATTCCACTTGTAGAAGAACACTTTCTATAGTGTCACTGAAACATGATAGGCAAAACAATGTTGACATTTGTCAAGTTCTGATACAAGTTTGAAAAGCTGAGTGCATTATGACAAATCTCTGCTGCCTTGCAGCTATACCCAAACAATGGATTGGTTTCAGGAATCACCCTGAGGTAAAATCAGGAGCTGACGACCTTTGTAGCACACAGCCAGTGATGCAGCTGATCCCAAACTGTAAGGGAAACTGCTGTGAGGGCAACATTGTTCTGACAAAGCTAATGCCCAGGCATTCATCTCATTTCAATGAGATGAGCCATAGTTGCTCCTCGAATGAAGGATGCCTTAGTAGTAGTAATATGAAAACAAACATAAAATTAAATATTTAAAAAAAAAAAAGGTTTCAGTTTTATGTGAAAAATATCAACTTAAACCTTTCAGATCTCAATTTGCAATACAGCACACTTTGGGACAATATGAGTAACTTTAACATTGTATACATCTTTGTGTAACTTTAACATCATATATATCTTTGTGCTTAATCTGCTTCAGGTGAATCAGGTAACTCCTCCATATCTCCCTCAAACTCTGCCACTTCTTGGGCCTGGGAACCAAATACTGGAAATGCTAAACAAGTCTGTAAATTTGCAAAATAAATTTTCAGGGGGGCCTGAGTATGTTTCTCAACTAATTCCTCCAGAGATTCAAAAACAGCTGCATCATCTCTGAAACCATAGCCTCTTCCTTCTGGGTGACAGATGAAGCAGTGTTTCACATCTTGGGAACCATCTAGATCACAACTTCTAAAAATGAAAGGAACAGGTTAAATATTAAATTTTAGTGTTATCTGACTTTACCCAAGAATGTTTTATCTTTAACCAAAAGGTATCAAAAGCATATTACATAACAATAGGACCATCACAGATATAGAAGTGAAGTGAATATCCCATTATAGAGGTGACTTTGAAGCTGTATGTCAGGTATTTTAGACATTGTTCACCAGTGCAGTCTGGCGGACGATTTGTGCACCACAGGTTATTGGTAGTTTCCTAAAGCATTTCATCTCACATGGCTTGGACTTTTCTAATCCACCCAAAGTAAATGAGTGGAACAAACCTAATCTTTGTGTTCCCACTATTTAAATCCTTCCAAATTCACAATTAAACTTGAACATACTATCTAATGAGTTTTCTTGGCATTGAATAGCATGTCACATCCTAATGACAACTTGTCAGTTCATGTTAACGACTTTTCTACCACTAATTAGTTTTGAAGACTTCTGCTTTTAGAAAACAGTTCTATTTAATAAGTTCTAAATATAAAATTGAACCATAGGCCAATGTTTGTATTATGAAATTAGTTTATAATGTAGAGTTAGTTTGTTAAGTAGTTGTATTTTGTAAAACTAATTATAAATCAAATTAAAAAACAAAAAGAGACCTACTTAATAGATAAAACATAAGGTTTCTCTGGATTGTCATACTTTGGCCGAATCAAAAAGGTTCCAGAATCTTTGTCCATTAAGAGAGCATGAGACTCTTCTCTATTACAGTCAACTAGCCACTGCTCTGTTGGGAAGGTATATCCCTCTAACTCATCCACAATGCAATAGACAAGGTCAGGCTGGAGTCCACATTCTATAAGTTCACTGTATAGTACAAAATATCAGACTTATTCATATATATCATACAATTTTAATTCTGATGTGAATCTTAAAACAACTAAACCAGCTAACCTTTCAGCTTGTAAAATTTAGAAATCGTTAAGGAAAAGATCTAGTTTTTAAATGTACCTAGCAATGTTTTATACTCTACATGCATGATAGACATAGCAGGTTACATCAAATAGTTATAAATTAATTTGAACTTTGCGCATTGAAAGTAAATAACAGCTAATTTATTTGGATATTTTAAAAACATTCATTTAAACAATGCTTTAAATCCAATTCACTAAAACTGCAAGACTGTCAATCTACACTGTACAGGAATTTAGAAAATCTTGCATTCTTCAAAATATATAAAAAAAAAAAACAATGAGTTTATTTGAAAGCGTAAAAATAGAAATAAAATGCATTTTACTATGTTGTAATAGCTTCCTTCATGGACTAGAAATAAAAATAACTTGATAGTAAAAATTAAATACTTTTTGTCATTAAAATTTCAATATCATCGCAGGATACTAAATGCTGAGGCTAAAATCTAGGAGTAAATAAATAGAAGACAGTTTTATTTTGGTGAAAAAAACAATAACTGAGTTATTAGAAATTATTTTTATAATTTTTTTATTTATGATTAAAGGCCTATGTTCCATCTATACAACTTAGGAGAACTAACAATTATATTGTATTATTCTTATTACTGAGTTTCAGTAACATCACTTTTGCAAATGGCCATCCCCAAGCAATGGTCAGACTCACAATCTTGCCTTTATTAATATATATCTAAGTGAATATGTACATGTAGTTTACAATATTGTTTGAACATAAAGTAGGAATCGATTTAAAATTTTTTTTTATAACCAGTCATTATGATATAAGCTATAATCAAAACATCTTGGTGTAAGAAAGAAAACAATAAGTAGTCATTGTTAAGAATCCACCCAAGACTAACCTACAGAGATGTCTGTAAGCGAGACATGAGAACCAAGGGCATCGAACAAAGAATGTGGGAGGAGATAGCCCAAGGCCGGACAGCATGGAGACAGACTGTACATGCTAGTACAAACTTCGCAGAGTGCAAAAGAAACAAAGCTGCATCAGTCAAGAGAAAGAAGAAAAAGCTGCCCTGTCAGATGCATATGCATGCACGAACTGTGGCAAACTCTGCAGCTCCAGAATTGGCTTGATCAGTCACACAAGATTCTGCCCCGTCTCAAGACAAAACCAAAGCCAGTGACTCATCTGGGCGTGTCCATTGTCTTCCGAGACACAAGGGAGCCATATCAAGTATGTTACAAATGTTGGGTGTTGAAAATATATTTTCAGAAGTTAAATCCAATAGTATGCAGGGATTCTATCTTTTTCTTCACTAGTATTGGTCAAGAACTGTTTTCAAAGTTCATTAATACATTCAAATTTTTAAATTCCTCCACAGAAGCAGATTGAACGTGAAGCTTGAAGCTTATAGAATCAATAAAGTTATTAGAGCCCTGATACATCAACCCTATTCATAGTTGGTCCCAAGTCAAAAATTGAAAGTTGTCAAAACTTCTTAAACTGAAAAAAATCAATTATCTCCCCTACATTACTCTTTGGAAACTCCAAACTTCCAGAAGCCATTGAGAAACAAACATTCTGTTAGTATTTCTCTGGCAACCTCGATTCATACACCACATAACAATGTGATAATAACAATGAGAAACTAGTAAAGCCTGAACGTAATACATCATAGTGTAAAGAAAAATTAAAAGAAAAAAAATATGGTAGAAAGAGTTAAAGATTAATTACTTCCTAGTCCAAACCTCCCACAGGACGATGGAGATGGCAGCAGGCAGGTATGAGCCTGGGACCATCGATAAATTCTAAACAACAGTCCAGAGACAATACTGCAGGACCAGGCAGCCATCCAACTGTTGAGCTACAAGAAACTAACTAGTCCCTTCAACTTATAGCTAGCCATCCAACTGATGAGCTACAAGAAACTAAATAACTTACTCCTGTATATATTCACAATCCTCATGTGTCTCTGTCATTGCGGCAAGTTGTTGATTTAACTCACGAGCACTATTGGAAATCTCTTTGTCCTTTTGTTGAATTTCCTCTTCAAGTACTTTGATGCGTTCCACAATGGCTGCATGCTTTAGTAGGACCAGAGCTGTATTTTCTTGTAACCTGAGAATGAAACAACAACACATGACTTTATAATGTCCAGGCACAGAAGTGTAAACCATAAAACTGTATTTCATGTCCAATCTAATAAGATTTCATCTTCATAAGATTGCTTTTATATGATGTGTCAGCACACTGATTTTAACTTTTTCTCTCCTTCCTAAGCATCAATACCATCAATGATTAGAATTCATCTTTTCAATCAATTCAACTAACCCATTTTCCATGCTTTAAAAGTAATCTGTTTCATTTTCTTTCCTCCCAAAATTTGTTTTATTGCTTAAAATTTAATCTTAAATAGTTTTCGCAATGCATCAGAAATGATGTTTTT